TTTTCTAGGAACTTGTTTTGCCATGTTCCTTTAAAAACCTTCTGATTATGGCTAATATGGGTTAATTTTATACACATTTACAGTCTCCAAATGACTAAATGACTTTTTTTTTTTTTTTTTTTTTTAGAGAAAAGAAATAATGACTGGGGAATGGGAATATGTTCGATATTTTAATATAATGATGACTTGTTGTCCTAACACTTGCAGTATAACAGATGTTGGCAGTAAATTAATCCATCCTCTTGACAGTCACTTCAGGATAAGAATGAGAAACCATACCATTTTTATTGCAGGCCTACCCTATTCTTGTCTGCAGTGTGCATTTCCGTGACAATGACTCTAATCATTATAACAGCATTGTATATAATGACTCTGCTTTCTCTGATGTTACTCCCAAATTGGGTGTGAAAAATGTGAAAGGACAGATCACAAATGGCAAAACTTTCACCAGTGAAGCAGAGCAGTCTACAGAATAAATAACTGACAGAACTGATATCTTGTTGCCCCCAAACAGAAGCTTGGAATTAAAGGGCACTGCTCACATAGCCTTCCTTCATAAACTGAGGAGCTTTGCATGAAAGCTTCTTGTCAAATTAAAGGCATACAGTATGAGACCTTGATGAGGTGTGTACAATTAAATGTGACATCAGTAAAACATCCATTTTTTCAAAATTAAAAGGAACTCACGCACAATGACCAGTAACAAAATCTTGCTAATTACTAATATGATGTCAGTCTTAGCCAGGCTTTCTTCTTTTTCTGAATTAAAGATATATGCCTGAACTAGTGCATTGACCTTTGCAGTAAATTCATCAGAACTGTGTCAACAAATGGAAAATAGAGTACAAATGATTGCAAGTCCCACAGAGCTTCTGGAAAGACTAACTTAATAATAATGTGAAGTACTCGGAGTAGGATATTATGAGCACCACAGGGAATTCTTTGAGGAGAAAGGGAGAAAAATTGGTATGTGCAGAGAAAAAGATGTCCTCAAACAAGGCATGTAGTCACAATCTGACCACAAAGGATTAAAAGAAATACTATTCATCGACCCCTGTAAATGAATGTTTACATTTATGCATGATGTAACTGTAGCATTGAGTGGTAAATGTAGCATTAATGTAAATGTAGCATTAATAAAGGTAGCATTAATAGAGTAGTCAGAGGCTAACAGAAAATATACTGAAAGGGACCATCCTCTAGATAACTGAATCCAGGCCCCTGTACTTTCATGCTATCATGTTTCTAAATGCCTTCATAAAGAGAAATATGCTTTACTTTTAAAACCCTTCAAGTTTTTGTTTCCACTGTTCCTATTAAACTCTTGCAGAATTTTATTTTTTAATTTCCATTCAAAATTAACTCATGACCATCAAAATGTCTTTTTTTTCCCCAAGTAAAACCTGAATCAACTTAAAAGATCTTCTCTTTCCCTTGTGGTTTCTTCTGAAGTGTATTAATAGAATAATACATGCTCTCCACCACTATTTGTGGGAGTAATTACATATTTTCATAGAATAATAGAATCACAGAATGGTTTGGGTTAGAAGGGACTTTAAAGCTCATCTAGTTCCAACCCCTCTGCCACAAGCAGTGACACCTCTCACTAGACCAGGCTGCTCAAAGCCCAGCCCCACCTGGCCTTACTTTAAGGGTTGCAGCAACCGTAACATCTCTATGCAACCTCCTCCTGTGTCCTACCACCCTCATAATACAGAATTTCTTCCTAATATCTAATCTAAATCTACCCTCTTTTAGTTTAAAAACATTTCCCCTTGTCCTTTCTGTACCTGTCCTTGTAAATGTCCCTCTCCAGCTTTCTTGAGGCCCCCTTGAGGTACTGGAAAGCTGTTGTAAGGTCTCCCCAAAGCCTTCTCTTCTTGAGGCTAAACACCCTGACTCTCTCAGCCTGTCTTCATATGAGAGGTGCTCCTGCCCTCTGATAATCTTCATGGTCTTCCTCTGGACACCCTTGAGCAGGTCCACATCTTTCTTGTGTTTGGGATCCCAGAGCTGTACTCCAGGTGGGGTCACACAAGAGTGGAGTAGAGGGGAAGAAACACCTCTCTCAACCTGCTGGCCACGCTCCTTCTGATGCAGCCCAGCATAAAGATGGCTTTCGGAACTGCGAGCACACACTGCCAGCTCATGTTTTGCTTCTCATCAGCCAACACCCCCAAGTTCTCCTCAAGGCTGCTCTGAATCCAGTTTCCACCCAGCCTATTGCTGTGCTTGGGATTGCCCTGACCCAGGTGCAGGACTTCACACCTGGCTATGTTAAACTTCATGAGTTTTGCACTGGCCCACCTCTAGAACCTGTCCAGGTCCCTCTAGATGGCATCCCTTCCCTTCTGTGTGTTGATTGCACCACTCAGGTTGGTGTCATTGGCATGCTTTCTGAGGGCACACTCAATCCCACTATGTCACTGACAAGGATGTTAAACAACGCTGATCCTAATGCCAGCTCCTAAGGAACACCACTCATCACAGCTCTCCACTTGGACATTGAGCTGTTGTCCACAATTCACTGAGCAAGACCATCCAACCAAATCCTTTTCCACCAAGTCATTCATCCATCAGATCCACGCCTCACCAATTTAGAGACAGGCATGTCCTTTGGGACAGTGTCAAATGCCTTGAACAAGTTCAGGTAGCTTACGTCACTTGCTCTTCCCTTATGCACCGACACCGTGGCCCCATCATAGAAGGCCACCAAATTGGTCAGGAATGATTTGCCCTTAGTGAAACCATGCTGGCTGTCACAAATCACTCCCTTATTGTCCATGTGCCTTAGCATCGTTTCCAGGAGGATCTGCTTCATGATCTCACCAGGCACCACTGTGAGACTGACTGGTCTGTAGTTTCCTGTGTCTTTCTTTTTTTTCCCCTTTTTAAAAGTGGAGGTTATATTTTCCCCTTTCCACTAAGCAGGAACTTTACCAGACTGACACAATTTCTCATATTTGATAGATAATGGCTTAGCCACTTCATCTGTCAGTTTCCACAGGACCTGAAGATGTATCTTGTCAGGTCCATGGGCTTGTGCACCTTCAGGTTCCTTAGATGATCTCAAACCTCATCTTCTCAGTCTTCATTCTCCCAGTTCCTGCCCTTGCCTCCTGTGACTTGGGGCAGTGGGACAGTGTGGTTGGAGCTCTTGGAGTAAAGACAGAGGCAAAAAAGTCATTGAGTACCTCAGCTTTCTCTGTAATTGCTCTAACCCTGTGGCTGTATGGTTAGATTTTATTCTCTAACACCACCCCAAATATAATATTCATTTTTTTTCTGTATAGCTTCATATAGAAATTAATTTTCTTGGCCAAGTTAATCAAAGCAATAAACAAGTTAACATTATTTTCCACAATGCCTTCACTACCACTTTATCTCTGTTTTGCTTATCTCAGTTTTTGCAGCTTAGTGTCCTATTTACCTTCTTCAAGGTATGACAGTAGAGGCAATAATTGATCTGCCGAGCAGATCTTTCTCTTCCTCTGTCACTTACATCTGACAAACTGTAGTGTATGTCCGAAATTCATGATACTGTCTGTAAGAGCCTTATCACATTGTGGTCTTGAGGTTTACTACATATCTCCATATCTAAATTTTATTCATGCTATCTAGCTCTTTCCAGACAATGTTTTGCTTCTCCTGCATAGCTTTGCATCAGAAATATGTTTACAAAATGTTTCCAAAATCATTCATGAAAATGCTAATCAGTCTAAGATGAGTCTGCAAGCATATCTCCTTATCCCCTTACCCATTTTAAAAGCTTCTCTTTCAATGCAATCCATTATCTCCACTTAGAGAGGTCCTTCTCCAGTTTACATTTTCTGCAGAAATCTCAGCAATTTTTAGTATGCTGAAATACTTGGTATTCTACTAAGCTTGGCATAATTGAATAATTTTTTTTTTTTTGGTCTTCATGTTAACTGTACCTTAAATACAGATGCTTCACTTGCTATTTTTAGTTCAGATGAATCTGTTTAAATTTGAAAGCCCTTGCTACCAGACATCTGTGATTTCAGAAGCTACTGGTTTCCTTGGATATTTTTTCATACTCTGAGATATAATTTTCAGGATTCCCAACTTGAAGGCAAAGTAAGATTAATTCCTTTTCCACGCCCTCACCTCTATTAACAATCTTTCTTCACCCAGCATATTCAACACCTTTCTCCGTTTTCATTAAGGAGATTAAGACTAATCTAGATTATGTAAGAAAAAAAAACTATCATAATGCTGAAAGACAGTATTCAGGGCGAGAAAAGCTCCATCTGGCATACTTCTTGCACTAAAGTTATATATACAGTTTTGTGTTATCTTAATGCAAATTTAAAACCATGCTAGACAGACAACATTATACATGATAAACCAGACTTCAGTTGGCCAGCCTACAACTGAATCAGCATGAACTTTATTCCTGAAGCTCCCTAATATATGTCAAAACATAAATGCAGGGCTTCTTGTTCTCATAGGTTTCTGAGGAACTGTAACAACACACCTCCTGCCTCTTTTTATGAATAATGTCAGAGAATTTCCCCTTGGAGGATCCCTTTTTCACCCTACCTTCAGAGTGGAATGAATACCCCATGAAGCTTAGACTGTACTTATAGTATTCCCTGAAATGAAACTGAATCTTATTCTGAAATACCTGCAAAAGTCTTTAGCAGTGACATATTTAAGCTCCATGCATATGGGGTTCTATAACCTGATGTAAGAGGGTCTGCTGCACTCAGTGTTTATCTGAGCTCAGAAGAAACATTATATTATCCTATTTTAATATCTTCAACCTGTTTACTTTTATTTATCTTTTTTCTTTATAATAAATACAGAAAGTATACGCATACAACTGGCAAATACATTGTGTATATATATGGCAATCTCAGAGGTGTCCTACTTTAAAAAAGGAGGCACCATCTACGGAAACACCTGGTCTATCAATTCCACATTTCAAGGGATGGCAAAACCAAAACCAAACCCAGAAAAGAAGACATAGACCTTACCTTTCCTACATACTGAGGATCTGGTCCCATGTGTTCTTCTAAAACAAAGAACTGATTCCACACCCATCCACGCTTGGGACGATGATGTACTTCTGTTTCGCCTTCTATGTGTTTGGTTTGGTTTCTAGTCACCTTGATGGAGCCATGGTGAGCAGCTCCATAACACCTCTGCACAAAACAGAGACAAACTAGGACTGGGCAGATACAAGATGTACTTGTAATTCTCATTGTAGGATAAGCTTCCTGTTCAAGGTTTTCTTTCTCTTGTCTTTTGAGTTGTAATCCTTTAACAAGTTCCCGAGAAACAAGGTGAAGCCTGGTTCAGAAATACAGTCCAAAATGGGTTTTTCTGCTTGCTCATGATTTAGCTGCCCATTTGGGAAAGCTCAGATTATATTTACATTATGAAAAGCTTACTGGAAAAATTGGTATTTCTTCTGAGGTCTTCACAATAGAGTTCCACAGCCGGCCATTTTCTATCTAATAGGGAAAGAAAAGAAAGCCACTTACTCATCACTTAACCCAGATTTTTTCAGGTTTCTGACCTCGGATTACATTCACAGCTGTACTATCCAGTCAAAGATTCTCATTTGAACTAGAATTTATTTTCAACCCTTCCTGTAAAAGTGTTGTAAAAAGTGTTTTCAGGTTGGTTTGATTAGATACCTTAAGAATTACCATGGCTTTTCCAAGCTATGAAAACATTTACATTATTAAAAACTGGATGATTCAGGCCAGTTTTCCTTCGGCTTACTTCCAAATCACTGACCTGCTCTGGCAGTAAAAAAAATATCACTGCTGCAGTGTCATTACATAGATAGTGATCGGTAATTTCATATGAGTTCTTTATCTTCCATACACCACACAGAGATCCAACATGGTGAAAAATACCAAAGCTAGGATGGGTTTTCAAAGAAAGCCTCCAAAATCAGCTCTGAGGATTAAGAGTCAATATTAGAGTCCACTGACAGGAATTTTCAGTCAAAATATACACTTCTACATCCTATGTTTTAAATATATCCCAACCAATATCATACTGGAACCTCACAAGATTACTTCATGCTGACAGAAAGCTCAGGTACCGGTATTCAGATGATCAGCATTATTTTCATAAAAGCATCTAAGTTCTCAGTGGCAATATTTTCTGAGCTTTAGAAAGAAGAAAATAAACATTTATACCACAATAATAAAATGTGAAAATGTGCATGGAAGTTGATTTAGTGCTTAAAGCAAAGTAGATTGAAAAAATAAAGTAACTCTTTAACCTCAGAGAAATAGTTACTCTAAGGTAACCATTTGTTCAGTTATCTGAAGGTTATCAGTCAATCAGGAGTCTCAAAATATGCAACTACATTTATAAAAATTAGAACTGACTTTCAATATTGGCTGTGTTTGAGAATCATAAAACCATTACAAGTAATGTAAACAGAAACACAATGAAACTGATTTTGTTTCTAAGTTTCATGGGAATCAAAGAGAACAAATTCAAATTCTCTAAAGAATCAAACAGGAAATTAGAAATCAGATGGAAAAATACTGCAGTTGAAGGAAGCTCATCAACTGTCTTGGCTACAGAATTTTTCCCTTATGGTTCTCTCAAATCCTTAATAATACTGGGAGCTGAACCATGCTTTCTTCTGTATTCATCTAAATTCAGTTTCTAATTAGAATAATGGAAGAATTCTTCAAGACTGCTCTACAACATTAGAAATATCCAGAAAGGATACATTTTCCATTACTATTACTCAGTTCAGGACAGTGGATTATGCTGAAGTAAAGGAAGAACTCCAGTTTCTTGAGCTAGGCAGGACTTAAAAGAGAAACCCTGTATGGTATTGTCCATAGCAGAAAGAAGTTTTTAGACATTTAGTATTACCCTGCTTCCTATTTCCACATCAGTGCAATCTCCCCTTAACCCGTACAAGGTCTAAGCCATTAGTCTTTTAAAAGCCTCACATCCCATCTCAGAACAGATTCATATGACATGATGTATTATTACCTTCTTTAGTACAAATGTGATTTAATAGGAATTTTTCACAGTTAAATTAATACACAGTTGTATGAAGTGTAAGTAATACCAGGGACAGAATCCAGACATTCTGGGTCTCACATTCGTTTCTAACTATATACTCTTCTCCTGTAGCTTCCTTGACTTTCTGCATTCTTTCCTGATTCTTGCTAGAAATCAGTTTTTGCTTTGAGGCATGCAATTGCCTTCTAAAGATTTCTATATTTACAGATGAACTATTTAAATAGATTAGTCATTGTTATACTTCAGATGTACGTTAAAATTAATCAGTACCTCACAAAATGATAAGGCTGCAGTTTTATCCATTCAAGTATTAGTTTTCATCCCTTTGTTTCCATCTTGGGAAATGCCTGGGAGCAGTTCATAAGACTATAAGCTGTGCATAATGTTAAAAATGTGCATTGAAATTTCTCAATGACACATTTTAAATTTATTTGAAATCATTACTACTGAACTTTCCTTTATAAGAACCATGGGGATGGTGGTAGCAGAAAATTCTTGCCTTATAGAAAAGTAAATACAAATGAGTACAGCAGATAGATACCCACAAATCAAGATTTACTACCTCCCTCAGAAGTCATTCATAGGAAAAAAAAAAACAAAACTCTACAACAAATTAAAGAGAAAAAAAAAAAAAACAAAACCAAACGTACAAAATCCCAAAACAAAATAAAACAAGCAAAAAACAAGATGGAGCCTGTAAACTGTGGTATATCATAGTTTCGGCTTTATATGACTTAGAGCAAATAAGAGACAAAACTATGAAGGGCTTCTTCATCTCAGAAATATCTGTTTTCCTTAGCATTAACTAGAAGGCATTAAATTTATATTTTGCAAAAAAACACTGTTATTCACCTCCATTCAGAGATTAGGTGTTAAACACTTGCCCCAAAATTAAAGTTTTAAAATTCTTTGTTCTGAACAAATATTTTCAACAGAAAACATCACCACCACCACTAATAATAATAATAACACATCTACTTCCTGCTATATTCATGCTAGAAGTGTAGCCCTCAGCTGTTCCTGAGTTGTGTGTGAAGCCTGGAGAATTGTTTCCAAAGAGGAATGATTTTTACTGAAGATTCATTGAAGTGTTTTCACTCTGCTAAACATCTCTTATAACCAAAGTCTAATTAATGCTCAATACAAAGGTCCTTATTCGTATTTACTCAGCACACTCTTACTAAAGGTCTAGCATAAACACTCATTAAAAGACTACACCACCTCCTCTAAAGAAACCTCAGCTCTTCCGTGAAGACAGCAGTTTGTCTACAGGGGAAAGTACAGATGGAAAGACGTTGAATGGTTACTGCAGAAGAGACGGTTGCAAAGAATAGACAAACTTGAGTGAAAGACTGTATTTTCTGAAATCCCTCAAATTGTTACCTTAAGCTAACATACTGAGAGATGCTGACTGCTCAGTGCTCTTGTCTGCAGGTTCGGATTAAGTGCCCTGCTTTATAGCTCTTGTTATAATGATGTATGCAACTGCAAAGTAGACTTGTGTTATTGCTGTCTCCTGGGAGCCCTCATGAAAATGAGTTGTGTATCTCAAGAGACTCTCAGAGTGAATTAAAATTAAATAATTAAATAAGATGAGGTGGGAAAGTTCCACCAGCATTTCTGGAAATCATTACAGCACAGTAGTTACCGCTTAGTGTGGCAGCAAGACACTGTAATGAATTCCCAGGAAACCAGTTTGAGCATAGTGATGCAAAGCATGTATGCTTCACCATCATGAGGAGATGCATCCTTTGTAACGGACTTGTCCTGAATCTCAGTGTCCCCAATCTCCCATAATCAATTTCCGCACATATTTGAATTCAACTCGAAGATTTGGTTTTGCAGATGCACATTCGGCACAGCTCTGCACATCTGCCGCATCCCTCGGGGACCCTTTTCAGTCCCACAGTGATGGAGTGACAATTACATATGGAACTTACAATAAATTGCATTTCTCATATACTTTCTGACTTCTCCCTCTGCACTCTGCCCTCTAGACTTCCTCCCTGTCAGAACAAATTCTTCCATTATGAAAATCTGACCAGCTTTAAATCAATATAATTATTTTAAAAATCAGGCAGGAAAATATTCCCTTCTTCCCGTGTTGCTTGTGCTTAGTCTATTGCTAAAGTTATATCTTTCATCACTGCAGAAATAATGGTGCATTGACCTGGGGACCAAAGACAGTAACAGGCTAGTTATCAGAATGAAAAATTGGATGTAACTTTTTTGTTTTATCCTTCTGAAGAACAGCTTGATAGATTGCCAGCAGAATATACAATACTCCTGAGGAACTCTGGTAATTGGCAGAAAAAAAACCAAATTCTAGGTAGATGAAGGGAAATGGTTCATCTGTAGTTGATCTCTATTTCAAAAACTGGTAGACCTGAGCTATAGGACTGTACAAAAAAATGAGGCACCAAGTCTTTCTTAGCTTATGTGATACAGACACAATATATAATCATCATAGTATGCTTTCTAAAAGAATACTGTCTTCTGTACATGCTAGTCTATCTCACAGAAATAGCATCAAAACTATTTTGGAAAGCATTTAAAAATTGTAGTACTTGTCTTGCCCCTTTGCTGTGGTTATGTTGTAGCTACATTGGTGAGATTAAGAACTAGGAAAGAAAGTAAATAAAATTTTCCTAAAATAGTTTAATAGTAACTCCAATAACTACAAATGTCTTGACACCATAGTTCTATGTTGACAGATTTTCTAGAAAAGGGAAACTGAACTACTTTTTTACTTCAACAGAATAAGAAAAAATTCTTTAATTTGTAAGGTAAATCCCAAATTATTGCTAAATTTACGTGTAAGTATATTACTGTTCTGAAAGTTAATCTTTATTAACCTGGAACTCAGTTTCCTAAAGAAACAGAGAGAAAGATGACTGGATATCTCCCTCTTTGATTCTTTAAGCAAACAACCCCAGCTGATGGCCGTACAATATCAGGGGGTGTTATTTCTTGTACCATTCTTTCACACACACAGTCTTTTGGTACAGATCGCTTCTAATCACCAAATCCAAAAATTGTCTATGATAATCTAGAACTGGGAGACTGTTATTTCACCTAGTAAATGACTTTAAATAAATCCCTTTTACAAAGTAAATTAAAATAACCACAAAAGAAAGTTACCATGAAAAGTGTAAATTGTTCTTTCATATAAGGCAAGAGAAATTCTGTTCTGGAGAGAAAGGTTTGGGGAAAGGGAAAATGAGAAAATAAAATGGGATCCAAAACTGACACGTAAGCAGGCATTATAAACAGATAAATAACGGAAGAAAAATTATAGCAAGATACAACAAAGGCACTGAAAAATTGCAGAAAATTAAATCCAGATAGAGAAGCAAACTGGAAAGTATAACTGGAAACAGCTGAAGCTGTGAAAGCTAATATGTGAAGCTATTAGAGATGATTTTTCTCTCCGACCTGTAAGCATGCG